CAACACTGAAATATGAATAGATTTTATTGTGCCAAATTGTTCAGTTAACAAATCAGCTCAATTAGAAGTTAGTCTTCCTAGAAATATTTATGGATGAATTACAAATTCACTGTTAGTAACAGTATGGACTCAAACAAAACTAAGAAGACAGGAATGTTGGAGCAAATAAGGACATTCACTTCATTCTTGGACTTCCTGGAAGAGAAGAAATCCAAGTTCAGGATGAAGGATAATCAGGATACACCCCTTACAGCATGATTAAAATCTCAGTATACTGGGAGAAGAAATAATTTTTTTAAAAAAGATAATTTATTGTCTCAAAATTTATATCAAGGGTTTAAACCTTCCCTCCACTTTACAGTTGGTCTTTCAAGTGTTAATATATTTTCCTCTATCATCTATTAATTTTAACAATAAAACATTATAAAACCCTTACCTATATATTTTTACTAAAATACCTTCATCCAATTCCTACATTCCTTTAATAGTCAAAGAAATGAGGCTGAATTGAAAGAAAGTTTTCCTGTAGAACCTATGCCAGTCCTTGGGATCACCATTTTTTTTTCTTTGAAATTCTTTTAAGGAATGAGTTTAGAATACTCAGGGTTACTATCAAGGTGCTTCTTATACTGTATGTGAGATACCGCTTCTATCCATTTTTGAAAAAATAAAAAATAAAATCATAACCACATTAGCTTATTTAATAACCAATCAGCTCTCTTATCTGTGGGCCAGCAGATTCACCTATAAATTTATTCCAAATATTTAAAACATAATTCACATGCTCCACATTCATTTAGAAAAGCCAAGACTTTTCTTCCTTCTCTTCTATCTTGGGCTTCATTTATCTTTGTTACTCATGCTGTTTATTATCATTATTTTTATTTTCTATTAGAAAGATGATGAAAGTAAAAGAATAACTTTTTCTTCTTTGTATTGTTTTAGTTAAGTGTCATATAGACTTAAAGATAGAATGTGCTAAAAATTATATGATCATTTAATTTGACGCTATATTTGTTATTTGGCTGTAATTTGAGTTTATCTCCATCATGAGTGTAGACTTTCATATTCAAGGGGGAAAGCTGGTTTACATTTCCTCTAAGCATTTCAATCTAGATTCTAGCATTTCCAAAAATAAAAGTAATTAATATCAAGTAGGTTAATCTTTTCTCTGTCTCAGGTTTACTAAGTGATTAGGATATCACTAGGATAATCGTGCCCTCTCTTAGTAAACTTCTTTCCATTTAACTGAATACTTCTAGATGCATATAGCCATTTTGTAATCTATCTCATCTAATCAAAAAAAGAAAATCTTCCTTGATACCATCCTTCCTCTAAATTCTGTTCCAGTTTTCATACCACCTTTGGAGAGTTATCTATACTCTAAAACCTCATCTTCTCCCCATGATTGAATCTTGAGCCTCCTGTAATCAGTTTCTCATTTCTACCTTCTTAATGACTTTTATCAAATTAACTATTATGTCCATATTGCCATACCCGATAGCCAATTCTTAGACCTCTGCATACTTGACTTCTCAGTAGCCCTAGACAGGCTGATCATTCCTTCATTCTTAAAATCTTTTCTTCACATGGTTTCCAGGACACCTTTCTCTCTCCTTCTCCCAGAACCTCAATGACAGCTTCTTATTCTCTTTATTTTGCTTTTCTTTTGCTTTGCTTTTCTATCTAATCTATTCTAGCTCAAAACATTATGAGGTACCTTGTGACCGTTTTTCCTTTGCTATACTCATTCTCCTGTGACCTCTTCAGACCCATGCCTTTAAATACCATCTATATGCTGATGGTTCCAAAATTTATATCTTTAACTCAGACCTTTTGCTTGATCTGCCCTCATCTCTGGACTCACATCTTCCCATGGGATATCTAATGGGCATCTTGAAATTCACATGTTCAAAAACCGAACACTTAATTGTCCAATTCCACAGCTGCTCCTTCTATCATCTTGTTAATCTCAGTCCAATCCCATTCTCTTTCTTCTCAGAGTCAACCAAAATGATGAGTTTGTCCTGTTTTATTTTAGTGTATATAGAGCTAAATAATATATAGAAATATAGATCTGGATATGTTCTTATTTGTGCACAATGATGAGTAACATTTAACACACTTTTGGGCTAATCTTACATACTATATTATTAGCCCAAAAGATATAAACATCATACCATTAATATCTTTTCCAACTTTTATTATGTTTTGAGACTTATCTAAGTTGGTTCATTCAGATCGTTTTACTCATTTGAAGTGCTATATTAGATTATACAACTACACTCTACTTTTTAATTCATTTATCCACCAAAGCATTCAATTAGTTCCAAAATGTTTGCTGTTAGAAACGATGTTGCAGTAAAATGCTTTTATTTTATCTATATACTAGATCTCTGAATGTATTATTTTATGCGATTCTCACAAAAATCTTGCATATTTTCTTCTTTTTTACCATAAAAGAAACTGATCTTAAAGAGATGAAGCGATTTTCTATAATGACACATAATTTGAAATCACATTTATGCCGTTTCATCACTCAGGGGGTTTTTCCTACCACATACTTCATCTGGTTCTAAATTCATGAATAATGTAAAAATAATGTTAACAGGGAACAATGAGAGAGGCCTACTACCAGTCCAAATCCTTGCTTCAATAAGAATTCCAGAAAATCATGAGTGAGCAGTGAGAGCATGAGAATACAGAAGAAATATGAATATAGTGATGGCAGTCCACTTAGAAAACTCCTAATTAAGGCCATTTTATTAACAGGCACTCCAATCCTACAGATGCTGGAAGAAATTCAGAGGAATTGGTGACTGAACTGTTCAATGAAAAAGAAATCAAAATCAAATAGAAAGTCTTAATTTGTATTCTGGAGAGCCAGGGGATAGTAGTGACATGAACCAAACTGAGAAAATTAGAAGACTCCAGGATGCAGCAAGGTATAGAGTGGAGGGAATTGATGGGAGCAAGGTTGGGGGTGGGCTTGATGATGTTCCTGGTTGAGATAAAGATTTGCTTTACTTACCAAAGACTTTGAGCCAAGCATTTTTACTTGCTTTCTAAAGAAAGCAATGCCATTTAGCTCCAAACCAGATTTAAATGCTAGCAAGCACTGAAAGCAATTATTAGTATCAGCAGAAGGACTCATTTAAGGCATATCAAGCCAAGAGATTAGACAAAAAAAAAACTCAGTATAAATTTGTCTTTACTGATCTGCGGCCCACAGTACTGCTTCTAGTGACTGTATTCTTGCCTTATTTTCCTACAGGGTTTCTTCTTAATATTATAATTGGGGTCAGTCCTGTGCGGGAAGCTTGCCTTGGTTCCCAACCCAATATTTTCATTTTCTCAGCTTATGTTACTTACACTTCTTTTATCACTTTTGGTTTTGCAAATCTAATGCAGAAACCAGTTCTCCATGATCAAATGTTCCCAAAACATATACATTTTTTTTCCCAGAACTTCACTGATGCCCACTGCTTAATGGTCTTCATTTGCTACCTTCCACCTTGCAAGAACATTCTTGCCACCCGTCTGCTCTGATATCCTGACTAATTTTTAGCTTTCTGTGCATCATGTTCCTCATACTTAATTTTTTTTGAATTCTGAATATTATGGTTTTCCATTTGGTTTGCCACATGAATTAATGAGCATCCATTATGTAAAAGGAGAAAAATAATGGCATAGAAGAAGCAGCTTTGATCTCTCTCTAGAGAGACATAAGGAAAACTATCACAGAAGAAAAGAAAAATTCCAAAACATAGAGGAAAAAATTGAATGCCAACCATGAGAACTGTGTAAAGACCACTGAAGTTGGCAGAGTACACAAATATTTGGTCTAATAGGCCAATAAATTGCAAAGGTTTGGATAATTTGGTTCTCTGACAACTTTTCTTGGATTTCAAAGTATTAATAAACTCAATCGAATGATAGCAGATCCTGAATTTATCAAAATCCTGTATGAAAAAGTGTTTTCATTTGCAAATGGGCCATAAAGAATTCAAAGAATAATTTAAAATATAATTTCAGATGTATCCATATTTGCCAAAATGTTGTTTCTGAATTAATTCTCATAGGCCTTTTGTTGTTTAAATTATAAAAATCCAATTATAAAAAACCACAGAAGAATCATTATGCCTTAAAGAAAAGCTAAGAAGGTAATCCGTTTTTCAAGGATTATACATGTTAAAGAAAGAAAACAGAGACATAGCTGCTTTGCAAAATAAGGTGAGAAAATTATTAGTGAAAATGGCAAAATTCAAAGAAAATATAAGAAACAGAACTACAAAGAAATATATGGAGACTTTAGAAGTATATACAGTAATTAGAACCATCTGCTAACAAGCGCAGGTACTAGAAAACCTGTTTCAAAGACTAAATTATACTCATTTGTTATTAGCAGTATATATTTGCATTCAATTAATGTCCTGAAATCCTTTAAAAGTATTCTCTCTTAAGTGGGTTAAGCATGTTCATTGTTATCTTGTTTATACTAATAATTGACTGAGCAAATCTTTTCTTCATATCTAGTACAAAGGTAAACTTTATCAAGTCCAAGCTAATTATCATAAATTCCATGTTAGCAGAAACAAAATTAATGAGGTTTGATTGTACCAAGAAAATTGTTTTTGCCATTTGCTTAATTTCACCTGCTTATATAATAACAAAAAATTCAAATGATGGAAAGAGGTAGATAATTCAGTATTTGCAAAAATATCCACAGAAGCAAGGCAAACTTTCAGAAACTCTAATTTAGTGCTATATTTATTTGTTTAGGTTCAGTGTATAATATGATGTTAAGTGTATTACTGTACCATGCTATTATGGAACAGATGTTAAATGCAATGTAAAAATGTCAGGGGTAAATGATTGATGATCCTTTTTGCCATTTCAAAGTAAACCATGATTATTTATATGCTCTGGACATTGCTTGAAAGCATCATATTAAATCTAAACAATTGATCCATTTTCAAGGGTTTTTGTATAATGTATTATTTATGTGTTTTGTATCCTTTTGTGAAAATGCTCCAGTATAAGGAAGTATTTAGAGTCTCAAGTGCTCCACCCAGTCCATATGGTAGATTTGTTCTCTGTGTAATACTTACCTTTTCCCTCTAGGCCCATATGGCAAGTCCATAGGCTGCCCAGGCCCCTCTGGCCTCCACAGGGGCCATATGGCAAGTTCAGTG